GCCCTGTTGTACTTTGGCCTATTCGTCTTCCACGACATGTTCTTCAACCCCGGGGCCGACCTGGTGGAGGGCCCCGTGCCCTTCTTCACAATGTCCCAGCGCCGCTTTTACGACCCACTGCCCATAGAGGTCCCCGAAGAGGACGACACCTTCGGGGCGGGAGACCTTAACTACAGCCGAGGCGCCTGGGTGCGCGAGAATAACGAGGACGTGAGCCCGAGGGCCTACCTCAACCAGGCGAGTCAGCAACGGTGACGGCAGGACGCCCGGCACTTGGGCAACACGCGTGCCCGGTCAGCCCTTCCCACTCCCGGACCAGTCTGGTTGAAAACGTCGATTTAGTGCACATTTTGGCAGAGCGATCAACCAGTTGAGCCAGGCGTCCCAGGATTGCACTTCTGGACTTTCATAAGCACACCATTTTCGATGGATCTCTCGACCGACCAGCCATGAAACGGCGATCAAGGACGAACATGAGCGTTTGCTGGTGGGGTTCAGCTCAAGCACAGAGCTTGAAACGATGCGCCTCATTGCAAGATGTGTCTCGTATTTGTTGCAATCTTTTGGTGTGATTTCGCGCCGCAAAAACGCACAAAATGCTCTGCACTGAATGACCCTGACAGGCCGTCCTGGCCGCACCAGGTGACGTCCTACCTGGACCTCGGGCCAGTGTACGGCGGCAACGACGTCCGCGCCCGGGCCCTGAGGTCCGGCGAGGGGGGCGCGCTGAAGACGGACGGTGCGGGGTTCCTGCCGCGCAACGGCCTGGGCCCAGACGGCGTGGGCATCAACCTGCAGAACGTGCCCAAGGCGGGAAGCGAGTTCTACGTGACGGGAGACGCGCGGTCCGGAGAGAGTGTGAACCTGCTGGCCTTCCACGCCCTATGGCTGAAGGAGCACAACCTGGTGAGCTCGGGAGGGGTCGATCCGGTGGGGAGGTGTTGCGCAAGACTTGGGACTCTGCAGTGCTTGGTTAAGCCGTCTTTTTTCAAGAAAGGGGATTTCTTGGCAAAGGCACGTGGTAAATACCAAGTTCCAAAATTTGTCGAAACTGTGGCCTGGAGTGCCACGACGCCATCGAAAGTCAGCTGGTGTCGGTTGTGGAGAGATGCTCGAAGTAGAAGAAGATGGAGGAGGAGAGATTCTACATATGCTGTCACGACAAAAATGCGCGTGACACCGTCCGTGCTGTACGCACAATGTACAACCATCAGAATGTATCATGGCCTCGTCCAGGGCCGCCCATGTTTCACCCCACTAGCCCACAATCTCAAAATGCAACATGCGAGAAGAGGAGGTTTGTTCCACTGCATATCACTACCGGATATAAAGGTCATGAATGGTGCGGGGGCCCTAAAATAACCTTGAAGCCGAAGACTAAGAACGAAATATGTCATTTATGCGTGGAAGCTCTTCGTTGGTTCTCACGCCCATCATCGCCTATCAGGTGCAAGGGCTGTGTTGCACCATTTCGCGGCAAACGTAATCGACGGATTTTTCGGTGATGCGTGGAAGCGAAGGGTATTGAACGTACTACTATCTGCCAAGTGGAGAAAGGGAAGGGAGCAGGGTGATGGACGAATGCAGGGAGAATTCCTGCCGTCAGGGCCGCCAGTCGCCACGGTTTCACTGTATTCGTGGCATATGGCGAAGCGTTGCTTACAGCAAAGTCAAGGTGGGATACGAATGGAATTGATGGCTTCCCATTCTACCTTCTTGCTCTAGTGCAAACGGCAGGCAACTGGGAGGATTTTGTTCTATTGGAGCTTGCAATATCAGTGGCGCGCACGAAATAATGCAAGCTGATCCTGACTGGATTCGCTTCTGCAAAAGACACAACCTAACACCAGCACCCCCGTTTCGCATCAGGTCGCCGCCGAGCTGCTGGAGGCATCGGAAGAATCTCTCAGCGACGACGAGCTGTATGAATACGCCAAGGAGATCGTCATCGCCGAGTACCAGTCAATTGTCTTCCAAGAATTTCTGCCCGTGATCTTGTGCCCCGAAACCCTGAATGCCGACGACTGGCGCTACGACAGGACCCTGGATGCCAGCGTTGACCTGTTCTTCGCCACGGTGTCTTCCAGGTGTGGTGCACCGCTTGCCGGCTGTCCGCGTTGCTCAGTGCCGGAGAGCGGTGCACTTTTCTCAGGCATATTTTGCGTGCAGCCACGCTCGCAGCCTCGGAAATCTGATCGCCATGTGCCTATGGTTGGAAAAGTGTCTCAAAGTCATCCTTGCGCAAAAGAGGGACCCGATTGAATGCCATGTTGTCCTAAAACATGGCATCTGGAAAAGGACAGTGCGTTCTGAAAACAGCTGCTCCATGGCGTTGAAGAACATGTTTGAAATGTTGCATCGCAATTTGAGCACCAATTCCTCCAAGCTGGGTAGTCTTCGCCATGTTCATACCCATTCTTACCAGCGTTAGGCACCTTCCAGGTTCCTGCATTCCATGTACGGCAGCACGCTCTGGAAGGTGGCCACGGATTCCAACTTCCCGCCCAAGGATCCAACCGACGAGATGCCGCCGCGGGCGACGTTTGGCCAACCAGCGGGCGACGTCCTGTCGCCCGAAAACTTTGAGGAGTGGCTGCTTGGCATGTTCTGGCACGAGGCGGGGGCGGTGGACACCGTGGTGCCGGAGGACCTGAGAAGTTTCTGGGCCACCCAGGACCCGGTCGTGTTGTCAGGGGACCTGATGGCGATCAACATACAGCAGGCAAGGGACTTCGGCCTGCCTATGTACAACGACGCCCGGGAGGCCTTCAACCTCACACGGTAAAGAAGGGAAGGGCGGTGGCGGTGGTGGGGATGGGATCGTATGTTTGCCGGCAAAGGACCAGCCAACCCATGGGTCCGCCCGCGGAGCAATTATCCAATGCTCTTGGTACAGGGTGCTTTGGCATGAAAGCCCACGGGACCTGCAGACTGCTGAAACAATGTATGCATCCAAATTGCTTCGTCCGCGTGGTGGCGGCCAAAATCCCTTTTTGATTCACCATTTTAAAATGTGACAGATTGCTGGCCTTACATTCATTGGGCGGCGTCGGGGGTTGTCAGCATGTGGTCCTGTGTATCTTTCGTCCCAATGGAGCAGTATGTGGGGCCGCCATTGCCTCAAGGAAAAATGTTATATACCAAGTGTTTCAGTCGCTTTGCGTTTGTCGATTGTTCCATGTGCACGGGGAGGGCCAGCAGAGTGCCACACTACAGCATGTTGGACTGCTGTTGCTGAGATAATTAGTTTGTTGCGTGGTCTGCACAATTCAAGCGGTTGGCAGTGGGCACTGCCGTGTGAGCTTCTTGTGCAGTTGAAACCTTGGCTTGAACTTTGCCAACGGGCCTGGAACACAGTGTGGCGCTTCGCAATCAATTTCGGAACGTTATATTCGTCCGACACGTTTTGAATGTCCTGACGCCTTGTCCTCTCCAGAGCTGAGACTTTCTCCGACATCACTGGTGGCGACACGGAACTTGCCGACAAGCTGGAAAAGCTGTACGGCAAGGTTGACCTTGTCGACCCAATCATCGGTGGCCTGGCGGAGAAGCCATCTGAGGACTGCCGCCTGGTTGGCGACCTCTTCTATGAGAACATCAAGGAGAACTTCGCGCGGATCAGGTGGCTAAATCGTCTAATTGCATGATAAGAGTACACACTAACTGCATTCGTTCCAAGCTATTTTTGGTGCCAAGCCACTCCCTAGCGATGAGGGTATAGACCCATACCGCTATGCTGCGCTTAAGATCCTAAGTGCAGTATCACTTTTTTTATAATACACAGACAAAGGGCCAACAATTGTTGCCCAGTGCGTGTAGGAATTGTCACATGCAGATGCCTTTGATAATCCAAGCAATGGTTAGCCGCGCGGACTGACCTGTGACTTCCCGCGCGACAGGGACGGCGACCGCCTGTTCTACAAGGGCTTCACGTTCACCCAGATGCTCGTGGACATCTACCCACGGCTGGACAGCATCCTGAGGGACGAGGTGCAGCTGCACGACATCATCGTGCGCAACACCGGCATCACGTCACGCATGCTGGGAGGTGCCACGCGGGAGAGCGTCTTCGCTGTGGAGTCGTAATTTTAGCATCGTTTTCGCAACATTCTCGTGCGCATTTCATGCCGGGGTTATGCCAGTTGGCAGCGATGGTCGACGCCGATGGTTTGTGGACGGATAGACGGGTGGATTGGCGGCGCAACTATGCATCAACGTCTGCGACTGTCAGCGGGATAGCGCGGGGAGAGTGCGGCGCTTTCGCGACAGCAATGTGATTCAGCGGTGCTTGGCCGGTCGTTGCAATAGTTAGCTGTTGTTGTTAATTACTGAGTTAATGGAGGCTGCGAGGCTTCCGGGGAGATAACTAGGCCCCGGGATTCGTGGAATAGGGATCAGTTGCTCACTCCCATGAAAAGCGGGTTGTGTGTGTGGTTGGGAATGCGCTCATGCACCCCTTTCCGGCGACCGATTTTGAATCTAGGGTATGATGCGCGCAGTGCAATAGATGTACGTGGTCATGACCCTGGGGCAAACAGGTTCTGGAACATTGGGTATTGTTCTGGAAACAAAACTGCAAGAATGGTCGCTTGATGGAACTCTGTTTGCCAATGGCATGAAACGGACTTGTGCAGCTCACATACTTGTTGCTGTTGCCAATGTACTCGCGAAAGGCATGCGAGATCGTGGACCTCAAGGTGAACGGGAACTTTTCTCAATTCTGCCAGCGATGCCGCTCCTTTAATTCCAATTTCTGGCTTCAGAGGACAGTGAGCGCGCCCAACCTTTCGTTCCAAGCTTGGGAACCAAAGATCAGAAATTCCCATACGCCGCAAGAAACGAGTCCGTCAATTGTCCCTGTGCTATGCTCACCGGCATCGAGTATCTTCAATGCGCCAGCAAAAATTCATGATATGGAGATGTGAAGAAGGGCTGCGCCTGTCAATACAACATTCCAGAATCCGCTTGAGAGCACCGTCCACAGCAAATGCCGCAGAGCGTCAGGCACCGTGCTTGGACCTCATGTGCACCATGAGACTCTCCTCGGATATGCCCACAGCCTCGGAACACAAGGGGCACACTTTCGCCTCCGGCTTCTTCTTCTTGACCTTAAGGCTTCTCTTTCCATTGAGGCGCTCGTCCAAGTCCAGCAACCTTTGCATGAATCCGGGGTTTGGGCAAGCCTTCGGCTGGCGGTCCAGGAGAAACGCCTGGAAATTTCCAGTTGGACGAATTTATTGGCGAGCATATGGCAAGCACGCGGCTTACACTAGTAACAAAACAGACCAAACTACATGGTTTTGAAAATCGGCCACCTTCCAACACGATTCAAAATCGTGCGAAAATCGTGTCAAGTCGTGCATTTGTCGCATGAAAATTTGACCAGACAGTGTAGTAACGATTGAGTGTACGATTTTCACACGTTTTGGCAGGGTTTTACACGGTTTTTACACGGTTCGAAACCGTGTATTTTGGCCGATTTTTTGCTTGTGTTAAGCGCGGCCCCCATTCCCACCTGCGCACATCCCAGTCACAACTACCCACCATCCAGCCACCAAGAGCAAACCCAATTCCCAGGAACTTACTCAGGGACAATATGATAGAAAATGGGTACGAACAATTCGTCAATTTTGCCGTAGCTCGCACTCTCTTCAGTTGCGCAATGACCATGGCAGAGCAGAAAGCCCAAATGTGATCCTATGGTTTGGGGGAACGGGGATGGGCGGAAATTCTAGAACAAACTCAAAGATTGAAATGTAAGAGTCGTGAACGCTGTTCGTTCCAGGATCAGTGGAGCTGTTTTAAGCTAGAACACCTCCACTGCCCCTGGAAGGAATTGCGTCAAAATTTAAGATGGAGTCAAAACTCTGTATGCAATTCAATCGACAGATTGAAGGCAATAGCACTTCTACTGTCTGAAAATTCCAGAAGACATGTCACTTCAATCATTAAATGACAGACATGCACTCCTGAAATCTTCACATTCCAGGAACAGCTGGTGCCCTCAAAATTCTATTAAAATTCAAAAATTTCTATTAATTATCAAAATTCTGTTAAAATTCAAAAATTACTATTAATTATCAAAATTCTATTAAAATTCGATCAAAATTCTATTATCGTCATGTCCCATCTCACGCGGTATCAAAATGCGAATTTGATCGGGGTCCAGCTGTGCATATTTCACCACTTCGATCACCATATTACGAGGATCACGACTGCAGAATTCTTTGTGAAATTCGGTGAAAGAGAAAATAGATTATGGTACGAATGATTCACTTAAACATGGCGCCAGTCTGGCGCCGGTCTTGCAACGCGCGGCTAATGTACGGGGGGCGGTCAGAGGACCCCCTTTTGTCAAATGCATCCCCGCAGAGGACATCCTTTTGTCACAGAGGACCCCCTTTTGTCATTTTACCATAAATGAATCTAAATGTTGGTCCACATGTAGAAACAGCACTGCGCAGCACATGTCAAGCGTGACTCTAGTAAAAACGCTGCGTCAGGAAGCAACATGGACAGACAAGGCAAACGGTCAGTGGCTGAGAAGCAGCCACTAGTCGCTTTATTGAATATACACAACGTAACGACACCCGTGCTTTACAGGCACTTGTCGACTTTGCTCGTTCGGAACTGGACGCTCAACAACACAGTCGACAAATTAACATTCTCACCCCCACAACACTGGAAGGAATTGACAAGTATCTGAAATGTTGCACGCATTCATTGTTTCAGAAACGACATGTGCCCGACAGTTCTATTTTCGATATTGACATATTTTCACATAGATTATTTCGCCAGAACAAGCTATTAATTCTAGACACAGTGACAAAATAATCGCGGCATCCAGCGCTTGCAACGCGTGCACATGCGCAAATGATCACAGGCAACCTCACCATAGCGTCCTTCAGCGTCCACTTATTCTCCATCAGCAGGTACGCAAGCACAAGCGCCGCCGACCTCGACTTGCCCTCGTGGCAATGCACGAGCACCCCGGAGCCCGACTCCCTGGCCGAGTTGATGAAACGGTGCACAGACTCAAAGTGCCGCTCGATGTCCTCGTTCTCGTTGTCCGCCATTGCCACCCTCATGCACACGAACCCCCACTCGTCGTCGGGAAGGAGGAGGTCCTGTGGACAACCGAGAACCGTGTTACGGATTAGTAAAACGAATTGCATTTGAACCACACGGTCCCATTCGACAATGACCCGCATGCCATCATTTCCTTCGCTTCTGCAGAAAATCGATGTGCTGTGCGCGTCGATGCCATCGTCGTACATTTTGGACGCCTTCCAATACTTTGCCAGAATCGGGCTCATCAACAACGGCCATGAGCCTCGTTTGCCGGTCAATTGCGCTTGGACAGGAGAGCTCCTGCAGATTTGGAGCGATTTCCTGCTTCACTGCTGCCACATCTCATATTAGCTATTTCTTTCCCATGCTTGCATAGTTTCGTTTTTCATAAGATTTTCACTTATAATTCTGCCCAGTTTGGCCTTTGTTTTTCACTTTCGAATTCTGCTATTTTCACTTCCAGTTTGCGCGAATGTGTTCGAACGCGTCATGGGGCCAATTTCCATGCCTCAAATTCAATCCAGGACACAAACCCCGAACAAACACTGCGCACGGTCCCCGCCATTGCTCAGCTATTGCAGTGGCCACACTCGACTAAACTGCCACCCTATTCTAGCACTACAACACCGAACAACGCAACGGAACGGTCTGCTTCGGGCGCCTCGAAGTTCCCAGTTAGAACCGTCAGGCTCGACCTAGACCCCACCCGATCACCTGCAGCACCTACACCTACATCCTCGTTGAAAGAACATTTGCCACTCCACAAAGCAAAAGCCCTTGCGCGAAAGCGGCGATGCCGGGCGGTGGTTCCATGCACACGTTTCTATTCGAGCCCACAGGGTCTGTTCGCGAGCGCGGTTCCGCACGTCTGTCGCGTTGACGATGTGGCCCACTCCCAGGTGCTTCAGCGTGTGGAGGGCCTGGGAGGCCATCGCGTTGCCGAGGTACACCCGCTGGGCGACGAAGATGGGCCGCGCCGTGGAGGCGGCGTCCTGCAGCATCCTCAGCCGCCGCAGCATGTGCTCCAGCCGGATCTTGAGCTCGTAGGCGTCCACGATGGGGTGCGTGCCGTCCAGGAACCCGGTGGTCAGGAAGCGCGCGGAGTGGAGGCCGTGGCGGTGCTGCCACTCGCCCACGGCGGTGCGCAGGTCGGCCTCTGCGAGCGCAGTACACTAAACCGGTTTACCCCGTATTGATTGGCAGTCAACACAATATCAATATCATCAATGCATACACAACACACACATACACATACACATACATATCAATGCCATGTTTCTTCGAACATTCATGCTCTTCTCATCTCCTGGTTATGATCCTGCATCAGCTTCTGCTGGAAAAGGATCTTTGCATACTTTACGCTTTGGGGGGGAGATCCTTCGTCTATCTTTTGATGTAATACATTGGAATTCAAAAAAAAAATGCATATCAATGTCATCAGTACATCAATCATGCAATCCGCAATTGGCAATTTACACGTGAAGTTGCGCATGCGATTGCATTTGTCGCATGGCAGAGCGATAGCCCTCTCACCGAAGTGGCAGTGTTGGACAGTGGTACCAAATGCATGTGTTTGTTCGAACCCACAATGTCTGATCGAGTTCAATACGTGCGGAGTTCATACGTCGCCAACAGAGACGCCATTGTGTTTGCGCCAACTGCATTGACGTTTGGGACACGCTGACGCCACCACAGTGATTGCAATGGTACCAAATCGACTGTGGGGGTATCAATGCATGTCCAAATGGCATTGCAGCTGGCATCGACAACATGGCGTTTCCTTCTGGTGTACGCCGCTGTGCACGTCATGCAGATGTCGCACTGCCCACTTGCATGGTTATAGCACACGTTTTGAGACAAGCAGTGGCGGTGGTCGGGCTGGTCGATCTCGAAGGGCCTGCGTATTCTGTGCCACGTCCCCACATCGTTGATGCAACGCAAATGAGAAGACCGCAGCAGGTGTTTGGAGAAGCATTTGGATTCTGGACGCCGGAATCAGAGGTGCTGTTCCTTTGCACCGCATCCTCCCACGCACTCGGTTCTGCAATCAAAGCAGCGCGCCACAGGTGCGGCAGCGAGCGGCGCTTGTGCTGCCTCCCTCTCGTCACAGAATGGACGAGAAAAAGAAAACACCAAAGGAAAAAAACTAGACAATAGAGCACAAAGAAGACACAACAACAGGACAATGGAGCACGCGCCAGAGTGCGTTCCACCTCCCGCACTCCCACAGCCTCGCCACAGGTCTGACGGCCACCTCTCGATCTGAACACCTCCTTCCACCGCTGCACCTTCTCCGCCAGCATCTCGTCCTGCCTCGAGTCCTTCTTGATCTTCTTCAGGCGCACCGTCACGGACGCCATCAGCCCAGAAACGGCCCCCCTGCCGCCCCGAGGCGTCGTGGCTCTGGCACCCGCGCTCGGCGGCCGACCCGCCATGGGGGAGGGCGACCTAGTCCGTGACCCGCAGGGGGACGAGGGCCGGCTGACCTGCAGAGACGCTTGGGAAGGAAGCATTTTTAGAGCACAAATTTGTGAAGTTCTCATGAGCTCTTGACAATACCTAATAACTTACTAACTTAATGATTTACCAATAATGGTACAAGCAAGTCCCGCAGAGCACTGAGCCCCAAACCAGTTTTCCCCAAAGGAGGGCAGGAAGTTCAATTTCCTGACTCGCTGTGCACGGGTTTGTGGCAGCCGCTCCTTTGAAGTTGAATATGCTGGTGGGAAACGTCTCCATTTTGCGCAACGGCCGTCCACGTGTTGCCAATAATCGTGCATGAAAGATGCAACATTAGTAGAAAGGGACGAAATCACGTCTCACTATCTGCTTGTCTCCTGCGCAATCTCCACCAAAGAAGTTCAGTGCTTCGCACCCCGTTATTAGAAGCTGATACATCTTTGGGGGGAACAATGTTACAACCGAGTAACATGACATGCTAGGTATTGCGCCGCTGTCCCAAAAGAGAGCGTTCCTTCGATTTGTTGCAGCAAATGTGGACAGAGAAGCCATGTGTAAACCTACCTGTGGGGATGTGGGAACGTGTGGGATGGGGATCGGTGGGGGTGTTGCGGGCCCCCTGGGCGGCGTTGGAGAGCGCCCTCGTGGAGTGGCAGTCCTGATGGGGTTGTTGTCAGTAGTGGCGCCTTCGGCATCCATGGTGGACTCCTCGATATCTTTCAGAAACTCGGTGATCCACTCGCTGATGACATCGCACATCATCTCCAGGAGACCCTGCAGATTGGGAAAGGTTTTGCAAATGTTGTTGACACAAGGAGCAGGTGCACCACACAAACATTGCGATATGCACAATACGCGAATGTATTGCACTGACGTAAACACATGCACAAATACTCAGAATTAGACGCTTCGAGTTCAACCTCTCCGGTCATGAAAAGTTTCTCCGGTCTAGATATCGACTTATTCAATGTATTTAATACATATGGATGAATGTCAGGAAGATGAAACCTGTTGTGTTGCTTGTAGCAAAATGAGCCTTGAACACATGTGATTGTACGATGGTGTAGAATATGCACCTTGGAGATGCATGCCCTTCCCCCCCTTCCCTGTTTTGTGTCCTCGTGCAAAGCCCATGGGAAGGTGTGTTCGGGGGCGTGGGCATCAGAGCTGGTGATGGCTACCATCGCGCTTCCCATGGACCAATTTCAGAATGCGGAACAGTTCTATGTATTGCAACATCTGGGTTCACCATTCCTGGCGCTATGCCGCCCGGCTTTCACTATCGCCATGTACCGTCACCGTGCGGTCCGCGTGGACTGCAGGATGCCTTTGCTGCCAGGTGTCGTGCATGTGGAGTGCGTGTGGCTGTTCGGCCTCGTTCACAAATAAAAACAGCGAAGAAGTGGTTGTGGCTGGAGTGGGGACCGTGAGAGCCCCGTTGTTAGGAGCGATCTGCCTAGTGGTCAGAAATCGGTTTGATGAGGCACTAAGCCTCCCATTGGGTTAAATGGTGGTCCAGGGGAAGGCTTGAAAAATTGGATATCCGAACTCCACCTGTATCTTGAGGACTCCCCCTAGACATGTCTTTAGCCCCTCTTGAAACATCTGTGCCAAATTTTCATCTGGAGTCCTGCCCGCCATCGAGTCAGCCGCTTTACCACCCTGAACCACCTGTTCCAGTACAGATTCTGATTAATATCATGCAAGGCATCAAAGGTCAGGGAATGTGCCTGTAGGGTGCGTAGGAGGCTAAGAAAAACATAGAAGATATGCATTAGGAAAGTCCCAATATGACCCAGTTGGGCAGTTTTGTAGCCTAGACGGCGTATGAACTGCTTGGAGCAATTCAATGCGGGTGGTCGCTGTCCTCGTGAGCTTAAAGGCGGAATTTGCCAAATCTACAATGCATTCACCAGCAGCATCCTCACTATTGGGCACGGACTGATCGCCGCACACCTGGGAAGATACGGGAATGTACACCTATAATGCACATATGGCATAGTGTGCTGCATGAGTACAGAAACGTACGTGTATTGCGTGCATGTTTCCTTTCCAATAATAAAACATGAACTGTTTTGCTCGGCCATCGTCAATTTCTAAACTGAATGAACAACACTGTCGGAAAAAAGTGGCATATCCTTGAAAACGTATACAGGATACGGCCATATCCCAGATTATGTTCGCCCACATCCTCACCCATATGCTTCGCCGTATTTCCAGGATGTGGGCGCCTATATCCTGGAAGTGGAGAGTCCATATCCGGCATACAGCCATGTCCTGGATGCGCATATCCGGGATGCGGCCACCATGTCATATTCGATATCCAGGATACGGATCTCTTTACCAACGATCACATTGTGTAGCAGAACATAGAGGCCATTGTATCTCGTATTGTTAAAATTTGTATTGTAGGGATAGCAGCCCTGCCAAAGCACCACCTGCTGCAAGACGCCCTGGGCGACTCCCGTGTCGTGAATTATCAATTCCGCCATCTTCTGCACTGCCTCATCCTCCGTTGTGGCTTTGCCAACGGGCGGCTTGCGCGGCACACAGGAGTCTATCGCCACCACCCTCCTCGTCACCTGGAAGGGCAAAAATCCCCTTGGAACAAATGCGAAAAAGCAGAGGTTCGAGGAATTGGGTCGGAAAACACCACAGCGGATTTCAATTCAAGGCTCAAATCCACCATCGCACACTGCCCCAGGTTCCTTTCTGTCAGAAGGAAATAAAGTCTTTGAAGGGTTCCCCTGACAGGTGTTCCTCACCCTGAGCATACAACTTTGTGTTATTCTCTCAGATTGCTAACAGTGGGACCAATCCAAAATCCTGGACCAATCCAAAATCCTGTCCAACAGAAATATCTGAATCTGCAGAATTATCGTGAAGAACCGCGCCTGTTGGTCGCACGACCCGAAAAGCAGGTTCCCAGCATTGCCGCGCCACGCCAGATCCCTGCTGGGTAGTCTGTCCGGGTTTCCCAATAGCATGTCCAGCAGGAAGACTCGGCCCAAATCATGCATTGTCGATTCCAGGTATGGATCCTGCTCACACAAAATGGATAGCAACGCGTCACGGCAATAGCTTTCACAGCTCGTGCGTCACTGCGCCACCTGCAAGCTGCGTAAGCATGCACAATAGGATTTGTAGCATAATGAAATTGGCTGCAACCAGAAATGCGGACTTTGTCAAGCCGATGTACGCACGAGCCGATTTCCAGGGCAAAGCCAGCACGGCATGTGCTCCGATTCATAACATCTCATAAAACCTGGGACATTTATGCAACTTTCTGTTAAAGAGTCACTACTCTTGAGCAAGGCGGCGACTACTGGCCTAGACCAGCACTTCTTCACCGAAATTGATCAATGAAACTCTCCATGAAGTGCACATCCCAGATTGTGCTGTATCGAACTCGCGCGTCAATCAGCAGCAAACGCGGGACCGCGCCGTGCACTAGGAAAAAAAAGCCAAATAACACGTCTTCAAACGTGTACAAAGTTCACGGGTTATTTTCGTGCTCTTAGAGTGCAGAACATTGATTCAGCGCGTTTATGTGTGTCCGCAAAAAGTGTTATTTTGGTCCATTTTTGGCTATTGATGGAAACCCAGCACTGCTTCGAGCTAGCGAACGGCACCAGCGCCAGATGTGCAATGCTGAGCGCAATACCTGCCTTAAACGCTTCGTCAACCTCCAAGAGCGGCTTGCCTTTTACAAACTCCATCAGAAGCATGCACGGCATCTCTTCCATTTCAACCACCAGGTCTTCTCCCCTCTTACCAACGCCTTTCGCCACACTGAAAATATCTTCCCACTCGGCTGAAGTCGGGCCCTGCCAAGCGCCCAGTGTCATCCTTTTCAGGTCGCGTAGCTAGGACACTATATGGCAGGTTTGGGTAGGTTCCCAATTCACTTCTCAACAAGCTGCAGCCTGGGACAATTTTCCGGATCACATTCTGTATGCATGAATTGTGCGCAGAAGTCCACAATGCTCTCGCACGGGGATTGTGCGCAATGGGCTTGGGATGCACTTGGACATGCATAAATAGACACCAGCACGCCGTCGTGCACTGGCACGGCAGCACGGGCCTCAGCCACAGCGCAGCTGGCGCTAAAGGCCATAAACACGATTGGGACAGTGCGATTCTATCCCAGTTGTCGCATTGCCTCGGATGTGTAACGTTTGTAACATTTCCGACGCAACGCTACCATCCAGTTTACTTTCGTTGTGACAATTTGCAACAAGTTTCTGCGGAGCAATTCTGTTAGGACAGCATTGGTCTGTCCACAACATCCGAAGGCTGTTTTAGTACTGCTCGAAAGGCTATTCAGTGGCATGGGCGCAAGGCTGTGTACATTGTCGGGAGCCCACATTACCGAAAGTTGTTCCAGGTTCAACTCAAGCCGTATCACTGTTACACCCTTTTCAGCTTACCGTAATCAAATCGAATGCCATCGTTCGTGCGGCGAAATGGTGAATTATCCAGAAACACACATTCTATACACAATATATTGATTCATACAGTAAATATAAAATTGTTGTTACTGTTACACCATCAAACGTGCACATTGCTCCACGCAGTACAGCAGGAACGACAAATGACGAAGATTCTGGAACAGAGGCAGCGTGAGAATGTCGAGCGTGCATGGGGCGTTTGCTGGGAAGCAACCATTTCTCCAGAACAACTTCCCAGCACCACAATGAGGAGGCAGTTGGCTTTGTTCCTTTCTTCTGTGCCTATCTCAAACGCACATCTCTGGCTCCATCAGGAGGATGCATTTCGAGATGTGTTGACGCAGATGGAGGGGCTGCAACCTAGCAATGACTTGAGCGCTTCTGCGCGTCGACAGAAAACGATCCTCAGCGGTCTAATGTGCACACGATGCATCGACCTCTCGATATCCAACAAGTCTATGGTGATCGCATCATGAAAGCTCCGCTCCCGCTTCCTCCACAAAGCCGGCGCCGCCATAAATGTGCAGGAGCGTGCCTTGCAACTTACAGCCCAAAGATTTCGGGAGGAACAATAATTTGAAGCCAAAGCAGGGTTTGTGACCATTAGAATGTCCAACACGATGGAGACTGGCCGCAACACGTTTCGGAGGAGGCTCCAACCGGACACCACTGATTGACGGTAACATGAGCTCACCTCCTTTCGAACGATACGACACATGGGGGCGGAGATGTCTAAATGGCGCGTCAGTTCGTTGGCGAAGTGCTCAGCCTGCATGGCCAGCCTCGTCGACCCAAACTTTGCAATGGCGACGTCCCTGGAGCTCTCCACCGAATCTGCAAACGACAACCGTCGACGGCTATTTGACATGCCCTCTTAAAACAACACTGTGCAGGCAAGTAACAAGAAGCACCAAACTTTGCACCGCCTTTTATCTCAAGAGCGCTCTCTTTGCATTCGTCAATAAACGGACCCAATACATCGTTTATGAAGTCTGCTCTGTCGTCCGATGAGCAATTCATGCATTAACGAGCAGTGCATCCGCTGAGGACACTTTCAATTAGTGGATGCACTGATTGCAAATCCATCCACCTGTCAAGAGGAAAAATATTTCTTGTGTTGAGCAAAGCGTTGATTCGACAGCACAGGAAATCCAAAGTGCGCATCCATGCACTGGATAGCTGAGATCTGATGACTCAGCTAGCCAACGTCCTTTTCGGATCAATACGACAGAAAGAAGAGCAGAAAACAGGCAGCTCCGGGTGCTCTGCTTCCTGCCACAAGAACGTCTGATTCCCTATAGTTGAGGAAGCATACAAATTGTTGTTGAAATATGGGAAAATACGGGTAGATGAAGGACTATGGAATATGCGGGTAAACATTAGAATATACAACTCCTTGCTCACCCTCTTTTTGGAAATGTGGTATGAGGTTCAGTATCTTAAGGTACTTGTTTGCACCGCTTTTCCTGACAGGGTGCCAAGTTGAGCTTGAGGCATTAGGTGAAGCTGATATTAATCACCTGTTTGATAGTTCAGCAAGGCTGACGCACTTGGCTTTCTGTTGCCAAATATCACTAAATCCGTTCGGTTTTATTGTTGCCACAGCATCACAGTCATCTGCCGCTGAGTCCTGCTTTGCGCCTGCAATGCGATGGTGAACATAATTCTAAATTCATGCCACTAATTTGCTACACTGAATGTGACAAATGATTCTCCAAATGAAAAATTTCTGGCACACTTCTTTCTTGCACTTTGTAATGCATGAATCTGCCTCACCCGATTCAAAAAAACAGAAAAGCACGCGGCCACCAGAGTTGACTTCGATCACCTCCTCGTCATCAAATTCAGATTTCAGAAGCTCGGATGGATGAACAGACTTCAGTCGAGACCACTGAAGTTTTCCCTGGCCTAAATGAGGATAAAAATTCCGCACAGGAAGCTGCATCAGATTAGAATCGATTAGGAGAACGAATGTGAGACAAAATGGATGCCGCACTTTCTCTGTTGAGCCAAACCGTGGGCAACACTTACAGAAAACAAGCAACCGTGCGCTTAGTAATTTGCCCGATTGCTCCAAGCCTGTGAAATATTTTGTTTCAGGAACTTTGTCCAAATATATTTCGTACAATTTCTGCACTCCTATCGCCCACATTTTGCCTTCTCACGTGTATGCGCAGCACAGTGCCTAGCAATCCAGGTCCGCAAGTCAGTCCGTACATGATGGGATCGACGGGGGCCCAGCCCCGATTGCTGAACAACATCAGATGCAACAGCTGGTTGATGAGATCTCTCGCCATTGAATCGCAAACTATTATGAGAGTCTTACAGGTAGGACCTGCGAGGCTCTCACAATGGTCTGAGATGGTAGCCTCAACAATCACGTTCATCATCAATGACAAACGAACGAACACTGTTCACGGATCATTCGTGATCGGTGTGATTGTCAAGACTGGCACCGCATACGTTCATGTCAAAAGCTAAGCCAGGTTCACCGACGTCTAGCTGGGAAGTCTCGAAAGGCATTTCTAAACAATTCCAGCCTGCCACCATCCTCTCCATCACAGCCAACGGCACAGTTTCCACAGCAGACACGGGCGATTCCATATTCTGCGCAATGATCCGCCTGCAGCGTGTCCAATCACATCCTGTTTCTCCAAGGGCACAGAGCAATTCCGAAAATTTCGCTTCCTACAACAAACAGCTAGCTACAGTCATGTAATACCGTCAGCGACAGATCAAAGATAAATCACTCATGTGGGTGGGCTTTGCATAACCCTGATTCTTGAAAGTGCACAGAACAGCGCTGAATGTTATCTGTGCCAAATACGAGCAGTTGAAGAAGTGCGTCGCGAAAGCCCTAAGAGGCTTCACCTATGTGGGCGGGCGTTGCTCCATCCAGACGCTCGCGCAGGGGCTTGTCATCATGCGAGTCTTTCGGCCTCAGGGTGCGATGGCGAGGGGACACGATACCAACTTTCGGACCGAACCACCCCTCATTCAGCAGCGCCACGATTTCGCGATCTTGCGACTGTGGACGCCACGCCGTGAACTTATGTCAGCGAGCAGTACCCCTCGCAGGTGAATGTGTAAATAACGCAATAGTTGACAGATACAAACACAAGCCTAGTTGAATAAGGAGCGTTGAAATAGGACTGGCTGTGCTTTGAAAGAGCGCGTTCAAAGGCTATTTCGCTCATCTCTAGAGTACAATGCGGAGAGAAAGGCAGCGGTAAATTGCTGATTAGGGAGCAGGGTTGGAATGCACATATAATATGACATAAAGACTTTTGTGGCATAACATAATTTTCATTGTACTGTGGTTCGAATCGTGCTGCAGCTCTCTGGATATTGCCATTTAAGGCGACATTTTGCTGACCAACAAAAGACGAAATAGAGCATTGCGGTAGATCCAATCGTGAAAGGGTTAGTGCTTCGAACATGTTCAAGTATCCACTGAGATAGCCGCAGAGGCTGAAATGACACCGAAATCGGCAGTGAATCGCTCGTGGGGATGAATCTGGTAGTAGAATGGATGTAGTCAAGACAAATGGCACACAGCTAGAAACGAATGCGCACGCATGGCTACCAGCAGTTAGCGCGTCTCCTTGATGGGTATACGTTGGCAGGGCAGTCGACACTCGCAAAATATGGCATATTGCAAGAGAGCGGAGAAGGAGAGCATGTATGGCAGAGATTGTCCGATATCTATCATATCGGATATGAGGGTCATGAAGGGTACGAGAGCCCTGATAAATGGAGCTTAAAACAAGCCTTAACCTGAAGATGACCTTCACAGCCTTCATGCCAGGAGATGGAGGGTATCAGACATTTGCAGCATTATGGCGTTGAAACAATGCATCGCGCTTGCGTTCTGGATTTCGACGACCGAAGTCTGAGAGCAATAGAAGCCACGGTCATTTTGTGTGCGCAATGTAGCCTCTCACTACAACGCGCTCAACTCCTGCTCTATTCTTCATAACGCCACAAAACCGCCATGTAATTAATGCACATCAACCTTGCGTTACGGTAAAGTGTGCACTGAGATTAATCAATTACACTGTGATGCATCGCATCCATCACCTCGAAACTGGAAATATGAGATTCATGGGTGTCGGCAGCACTTTCCGCCCGGGATTCGGAGGCTTTGATCCTATCCATTCTGACGCCGGCGCCCCCCAGGCTCATAGGCGAGCAGTCGCCAGCAACTCTTCCCTCCAATCTTTCAACTCAAACCCAGCTGATGCCTTTGCCTGCCGAAGACAACACCGATCCAATTAACCTTGTAGAACAAGACGGGCATGTGTATGGAGAGTCCCCATCACCAGAAGCTCTGATATGACCATTGGAAGATCAGGATGATCAGAGGGCCTTGGTGGTTTGGGCGTCTCATGCAAGCCTCTGCTGCACAGTGGCGCTCTTCAACTGGGCAATCGTTCATACACTTGTTGGGCATAATAATGACGACGAGCGGTCGTGGCAAAAACTTTAACATTCCCCATTGCGAAACCTTCCATAAAAGTGAACCTTAAATCGAAGGCAAAAGTTGAGGGGAGTTATCATTTGAGCGTGGCGAAATCTACAATACTGGAGAAGCTCCTCTGTTGACGAGTTGAACGAGGTGAAAAATACTCATGCAATGGTTGGCAATGAGTGATTGCATGTATTACATTTTATTGCTACTAATTACTGTCACCAACAGTTTGGGGTGCGCTCTGGACTGGCATCCTCGTCAAACGCCTTCCGCCACGAGTCACCCATTACTACTACTACTGCTGCTTTCACGCGACTATACTGAAAATAGATGTGAAAAGCATCAAAATGAAAAGAATCAAGCAGTATATATAAAAACATCGTAATAGTCGCAGGGAACTCGAGACAGCACACAAGTATGCTCGGAGGTCGACACAGACATGCTCCAAAGCACAAGTCTCTGATTTTCATCAGCAAAATGCATCGCAAGGTGAGTATCCTGTAATTCAGATACTACTTAGATTCGTGGGTCCTACAGGTCCTACAGTTGAGTTCCTGCAATTAGCAGCACTTTGTGCAGTTGGTTTGGCAAGACTGCTTTAAACAGTCCTAGCTAAGCAGTCACATCTTAACGAAGCTCGTTAGGATGTGCAGATTAGCGCAAATACCTAAATCGAAATGGACGAATACTTGCCAAATTTTCCTCTTACGTAAGCGCACTCTGCTCGCATAATGGAAGCTGCGCAAAGGGTTTCGAAATTATCTCCTTGCAGTCGTGCGCACGTACGTCGCATGTATTAGCTTCCGGAAATTCTTCCAAGCATGCCGCTGATTGCTGCACAGCGTCCATCTGACGACTGACAAGTTGACCGTGGTCATTCTCCTCAATTTTTTGGCATCCAATTCAAGCAGCCGATCCACCGAAACCAATAAGATGTTGATTGATATTAACTATTAGAACCACGCAAGAACCACAGCAAAAAATGAGCCTGCTTTAGCCGCCTTCACCAGCTCCGTGTTGGTGCAAAGGAACGGTGCAAAACATGTGGTGCAAACTGCGAATGAACTGTATACATAAGATATTTATTTGAAACTCAAGGATAGTATATATTTTTGGCTCTGACCGTTCCGCCGTAAATTTCGCCGCCAAAAGTTGGTACCATGTTGTTCTCAGCAATTCGTCCTAAATCAATTACTGGCGAGTCAAAATATTCCAAACAGGCCACCGGCCAATCCTCCTTCAGAGAACGTTAGACCGTGTCAACCGCAGAAACAGTGCGTTTTGTGGAGCGGATCTGACGTGAAACAGACCAGGCTTTCCACATGGCAATATTATTGAGCACAAATGCGTGCATTTAGGCGCATTTATAGTTTTCCAAATGTATGCGTATTGAAACAGATCCATGCTTATTTAAGCGCACTGGTACGCATCTATGCACGGTGTGTGCACACAGTCCGAGCCGGCTTTGCGTTTGCTGACAGACTGTCGCTTTGGAGCCTAACACGTTCAACAATTCTTCAGCGTAAGCGCATTTTCCTGCATCCGTTTTTCGTAACCATATCCGCATTTAACAAAGCATCGCCAGCTACATACAATGCCGACTGGTGAAAGCACAGGCGCTTTAGAAAATTAACATGCGTCGAAGAAGTATTCAATGGGATGGTTGACCCTACCATTCTGCCATTTACAAATGTACTGCGTTGTTTGAAATCACCGGCCACAGTACCCTCATTACTGCAAACTGTTAGCAGACCACAAGTAACGGTCTAACGGTTGTTCGATTCTACATCGGCACATTACAATGGAACAAGAGATATGAAGCTTGATGTTAGGCGTCGTGTTTATTATTGTTAAAAACGCCCTTTGCTTCCCATTGCGTTGTGACACCCCTCAATGGTGCCACCCAAGGATCATTGGAACAATGCATAGAACTCCTATATTTTGCAAAAATCGCACAGAAAACGGTTCAAATACCATCGCTTGATCCAGATCAATAGCATGGTGACTGCAGATGAGCAATCTTCAGCAATTGGTGCACTTCAACCGCAGATCAAAATTGCGCGAATTGAAAAATTCCGCGGAAATGCATGGATATTAAAAGTACAGGGTACTTACCACGAAACTGTTGCGTCCAATCCAGTGGTCGGCGACTATATCCCACAGAAATCTACTGAGGCGCGGTGCATCTGGAAGCAAAAAAGCACATAACGGACCTGGCAGTTATCGCCACCCCTGTTTGAAGCGACTGTGAGCACCGAGCTGATGTGGTGGGATCCACGTTCGCCTCCTTGTTCCCAACCACACAAGGCTGCTCATTCTTTAATATCTTAAATCAATACATTAGTCAGTTTACTCATTTTTGTAACTGGATGTGCACAACTCGCAGGCCTGGATTTTATGCCTTAAAACTGATCGTATTTACATTTTTACGCGTAATTTTTTACGTTTTTACGCATAAAAATGCGTAAAAATACGTAAACACAACAAAACCAAAAAACAGCCTGGTGTACATAAGGACAGTACATACAGACTTACGCAGTCCAGAGAGTGGCAGCCAGATGCCCGGGAAGGGGCAGAAAACGAGTTTTTGTTAAACGTCATTATCGACCTTGCCAAGGGCGAGGTGGACATTGTGTTGTGGGTGCTGGAGATGGCGCAGGACTAATCAGTGCACGCAACTTTCATCGTGTAACGTTACACCTAGGTTAACCTAGGTGTCCCAGGGAGCAGCAAAAACGTAAAATTAGCCGTAAAAATAGGGCCTTGTGCAAATTTACGTTTTTACGGATAAAGACGTAAAAGTAAAAACGTAAACGTAAACGTAAAAGCCAAGCCTGACAGCTCGTATGCGCAGCTTGGAAGAGTTGTGAAGCGCCGCCTCTCGCAGCTGACAAGCCATCTCCAATTCCTCCCACACTTTGAACAAGTTTCCCACTTGGTTCCAATGCTGTGTCACCAAACGTCGCTTAAGCATCAATCGCTCAAGTCTTGAACCAGAAAGGACATTTCGAACCCATGGGGCATAAGACTGAAAATTCGGAAAATTGAGGCAGCGCCTCCCACAAAATGGCTCATTTTTTTGTCCCATTTTCTAGCCCCGCGCCCTGCCGCTCATCCGAGCCAAGCGAACCGAACTTCAGTCGCCCGCCTGTTCCGCCTGCTGGTTCGCGTAACAGACGTGGAGGCGCCCAGCGGCGGGCAAGGGCGCTCCGAAAAGCTCTGTCTACGGCCTCGCCCATTTGCACAGCGCCAGTTCCCGCGAGGTTGGGTACGGCAGCTCCCGTTCCCAGCCCCAATCCAGTGAAAAGGATTGTGTCGCAGCTTGTGAACACAGGCGCCAGGCGCGGAAACAGTTTCCAGATCTAAAAGTAAGTGCCAGGGGTAGGCTGTAGGGGGACCGGCGAAGAACCTCCCCGCCCCCCCTCTCGCGCGGCTCGGGATCACCATACATTGAGATCCAAACAAAGAGACGGATTCCGCGACACCCAGGCAGACAGGCCACTCGCGACACCCGGAGGCTCCCAAACCGCGCTCGGCGAAGAGAACAGGGGAACGAGTTCACTGAATCGCAAATTGGTCCTCCGGGGGATGGGCAATGTGGTAAGTGTGAAGCATTGCCGCGAGCACCTGACGGCCAGCCCAGCCGAAGCCGGAGGCTGTCGTGGAGGGCGCCCCGCGGCTAGGGCGCAGGGCGCTTGGCTGCTCCGCTTCGCGTTCCTGGAGGACGCCGTCCGGGTGGCAGGAGGCACTTTCTCCAGCCTGCCCTGTCCTGTGTGCAAGAGGAAGCCCGGTTGGTGCTGTGGAGAACGGGGGAGGGTTGGCGGATGGGTGTAGTTTAGGGATTGGTTGAACCAATCCCTAAAATCTGCATGTTCATTATGGTTGATCATGATTATGAATACGAAGTATTCTATTTTTAGCATCATTCATGGCAACAACTACAAAGTATTTAGCGATTGGATGACTACCGGTTACTGAGTTTCTGCTTGGGGAGACATTGGTGGGCGCTCTATATGGGCCAAGAGCTGCGGACTGTGCCAATGGCCAAAATGCATTTTCGGCCATCCTATTCCTTGGCGGCCTAGACCCTCTGGTCCCCAGGGTACGTTTGAACGTGGGCCAAGGGATCTCTGTTGTATTCCTGGCATGAGTTCCAAAGAGAGCCAAGTCTTATGTAGAGAGGTGCCCTGGTGGGCAATCTTTCTACTTAAGGGGTGCCCCAATGCCCACTAGGTGCCTTGCTTTGCACCCACACTCGCCAATCACGTAGGGATTGGGTTTGGATTGAAGATTCCATGAGCATCAAATTACTGGGGAGTTATTACTTTTGTATCGTGGTATTGCGAAGGTAAAGGTAAGTTGAATTGACCGTCATAGCCCATGGGTATTGAATTGGAACATTAACAAAACTATTCAATACATTTGGCCAGTGCACGACTATAGAGGCAACAAGATCTATCAAGCAAATCAACACTACCAATTCTTATTTGATGGATGCTTTAGGGGTGGCCACACTCGGGTGCTGTCCGGTCCGTTGAGTCCGGTTCGTAAAAGTGAGTGTGATATTCGTCCGGTAATATCCGGTCCGCTGTTTGCCATACTGCCGTCCGCAAAATCCGGTTCTCACTTTTTCTTCACTGTTATTTGCCGTTAAATTAACGGATGACGTGTGCGGCGTCCGGTCCGTAACAAAATATCCGTTGATTAATAGTTT